TCAGGTCCCTTCCGACCCTAGAAACTATGAAACTATTTCCCCCCTCACCCTCCCACCCGGGTGCTGTTGCCATTGCTGCTTTCACCTTTCTATGGAGGATGGCTGGCCTGCTGAGACAGGCACCCCCCCCAGGGTCTGGATCCTATGGAGTGATAGTTTTTGTCAGAAAAAACGAATGGTTTTCAGCCTTTTTTTGATTTCTGCCTGCCCAAACAGGTGCTTCAGCCCAGGGCGTGAGCACGCAACACATTCAGGCTCAGAACACGAGATTCTTTCGGGGAGACTTGTTCTGTGGGGGAAGAAATGTTGTGAATGATGACCCCCCAGTCAGCCTCTCTAGACACCACACACTGGCACATCCTGCATCCTGGGGGCTGCAGCTGGCACAAGTAGAGGGGAGACTGGGCTTGATCAATCAAGTGTTCACACCGGCAGTGCCTGGAGACACAGACAGGGTCAATGACCCAGTGCAGTTTATTGCTGGCACATGGAGCAAAATGATACTCCTTGGTCCAGAGCTGGTTGCTAAATTAATTGCCACTACTACCTTGACAAATTCAACTTTCTAAATGTGTCAGGAATGGCTGCTTGTTGCTGTAGGCACACTCAGCTCTCAGTGTGCCACAAAACCCCAGTGTCCCAGAAGCCTCTGGTAACTTTCCCCTTGTTCCATTGCCTTTCTGCTCTTTTGATTTTGAAGTTTTTCCTGAGCTTCAACCTACATCTGCTCTGCTGCAGTTTAAACCCATTGCATCGTATCCTGAGTTCTGTGGTAGGGGAGGACACCTTTTCTCCTCCTTTATGGCAGCCTTTCAAATGTCTGACAACTGCTCTCATGGCCCCTGTTAATCTCTTTGCCAGACTAAACATACCCAGTTTTCACACTCTTCCCTCATATAGCTTACTTTACAATCCCTTTACCATCTCAGTTACTTGTCTTTGGACCCTCTCCTATTTCTCCACATCTTCCTTAAAATGTGGAGCCCAGAGCTGGACACAATACTTCAACTGCTTAATAAGTTGAGTGCTGCTATTGCTCCCTGTGTCTAATATAGAAAACTCCTCTTAACAGCCCAAAATGGCATCAGCTGGGTTTTTTTGTGCAGCATGACCTCTTGACTCATGTTGAGTCCATGATACACCAGAACCCTCTGCTCCTTTGCGACAGTCCTGTGCCCAGAGAGCCGCCCCCACCCTTTTCTGTGGGTGTGCATTTGGATATATAGCACCTTACATTTGTCTCCTGAGTACAGGGGATCCCTGCCCCCAACTACTGAGATCAGTACAACTCTGAATGGGATGAAGGGTCCACACTAGGGGCTTTCCTATCAGAACCACAGGGCCTGATTCAGACTAAACTGTGGGCAGAAGCTGAGAAGCTGGGAGGCAGGAGGGTGCACAGGTCAGCTTGGAGTGAGCAGCACGGGGCAAGGATGTGGACAAAGCTTGGGTGATGTCAGCAGTGGAGCATGGTGACAAGAGCTGATACTGACCTAGTTTCTTTCACCCAAGGGACCTCAAAATGTTCAGTACCTTGTCCCCAGCAATCCTTTGTCCTCTATCAAGATGCAGCCTGGAGTGTGGCTGTTGTTTAATGTCGTGCAGAAATGCTACATGCTAGTTTAGGAGTGCAAGTGGAAAAGGCCTCATAGGCTGAAATGCGATAGGGCAGGGGTGCTCAACCCATGCTCCAGATCCAGCCCCCAACACTTTGTCATCAGCCTGCAGTGCTCCCCACAAGTTTATGGGAAGCCCCGTTGACCATGGCCCTACATGCTAGATCCAGCAAGCACAACAGCATGGGACCCAATCCCAGCACATGTGGCTGGACAGAAGCGGCACAGAGCCCTGAGGTCCTGATCCTGGCACGCAGGGATAAGCAGAGGCAGCACAAAAATCCCAAACCTGACATGCAGGGTTCAGCAGAAGCAATGCAGGGGTCCCAATCCTATCATGCAGGACGAGGCAGGGGTGGCACATAGTGCCAGGACCCTGATCCCAGCACACAAGCCAGGTGGGAGCTGTGCAGGATCCCAGGACCCCAATCCTGGCATGTGGGACCAATCAAGGCTGTATGGGCTGGGTCTGGGCATATGGGCCTAATCTTGGGGCCCAGTCTGGCCTAGGGACCGGCCCTGAACCACTCATTTGGCCCATGGGGCCAACAGGTTAAGCACCACAGTGCTAAAGGAATGTAGTTCCTTATGTGGAAATATGGTTAGGTACGCAGCCTGCCATGCTGCTCTTACTCTATTGGCTAGCTAATGCCCCCTCACAAACCCTTTGGCATCTTGTGAGAAAGGGGCTCAGCAGGTACTGACTCCATGTAGTGAGCAGCCCCTAGGAAACCAACACTGCTCATGTCTCCCTCTCTATCCTGCCTAGGCAGTGAGTGACAAGAAATCACAGTGGAAGGGGCATTATATGGAGCACTAAAATACTACAGATACAGAGACTATGTCCACTAAGATGCATGGAGGTCCCTGCTATCCCAAGCCATCCTTGAGGAGCTCTGGTTGGACGAGGAATGCGCTTTTCTCCACTTGTGGAGGGAATGCAGAATCCCATTTCCTCTGGATTTTGGTATGCTTGGAGGCCAGTAAGTCTCCTCGCAGGAGAAAGGCCTTCCTGCACACCACAGCATGAAAGCAATCACAAGGCGGAAGAGTTCTAGGCAAATTTTTATGCTCTTACGTCAGCACAGTACATGGAAATGAATATAAATACAGACTGTGACTCTGTAGCTCTGGGAACCAGCAGAAGCTCCACAATTTTTCAAGGCACCAATTTCAATTTGCATTTCTGCTACAGCTGGTATTATTAGCAAAACCAAAATGTGAAATGCAATGGGTAGGCAAACCTCTGCACCTGGCCCACTGTTACCCCAATGCTGCCAGTCTGACAGATAGTGGCACTGGATGAGGCAATGGATGAGTATGGACACCCCTTCTGACAGTTTAACCGTACTTTTCTAATACATACATACACACACACACACACACACGCGTGGATGCGTGCACACACACACATGCATACACATGCACAGACACACACATACATACATGCATACATATATAGGTATGTGTGTGCATGTGTATGTGTATACCTTTCCCCCATTGGAGTTTTCAGTTTCCTTTTCATCTCCACCGAGATACTGTTGAATTGATTCATCCTGCACAATTAAAATGTGTTCAATTAGCAGAGAGAGCAAGAACTCATTAATTAGATCAGGCTCCAAAGTCAAGGGAAATCACAGAATAGCCTCTAATTGTGAGGCGACACTAACAGACTTCCTTTCAATCACTCTGTAGTTCACCTTAATTGCTTTGCTCTGATTCAATTTCTATTTATTTTTTTTAATATAGCCCATCAGCTGAATGTCAGAATCAATTACGAAAAATAATGATTTGCTTCTTTCTCTTCATTGCAGGATGGCCCCTCCCCTTCCTGAGGCCCTGGTTTCATCCTGGCTGTAGTGTTTGACAGTAAAACATCCTCATTTAATTGCTGGCACAGTCTAGAAATGATCTGTTTTTTGTCAAGAAATTGGGAAGAAGGAAAACAAAATCCAGCCTAGCACTCCTGTATGGTGTTTCTGCCCTTCCCGGTGCTCCTCTTCTTGGAGCCTTTTTAAATATTTACAAGTCCATTTACATGCATCTGTGGCTGACCACTGCTGCCTCCGTGGAGGGAGTCTTTAGCAGACACTCACCCTAGTTCTTAATAAGCATGTGTAACTTTAAGGATGTCACATAGCTGCAAGCTGCCCCAACACCATCCTGAATTGCTGCGTGCTATTGGCTAGGTCTTTGACCCGGTCCACCATGTCCTTGGCTGCAGATGGAGATGGGTACTGGAGTGCTGCAGTCTTGGTAGTCACCACAATCTCCTTGAGCATGTCACATAGCAGGTTGCTATAATGAGTGATCTTTTGGCGGATGTCCTGGGCTTTGGCCTGACGTGACAAGGTGTCTCCAATGAACACTAGCTTGTGGGCACTGAGAATGACAAATTTGCTGTGGGCCACAAAGATCTTAGGTGGTTGATTGGTGCTGACAGCAGTGAAGAAAGCGTCAACAGCATTGGTCAGAGTGGTAATGCTGACCTCACATTGCTCCAAGTAGAAGAGAACCAGCTGCTGGTCAGAGGGGCAGAGGGCACTGCCACCCCGCACCTGGGCATAATGCTGTGGTGGGGTCCAGTTGGAGAGGTCATTGTCAATGGGGCGCGTGACTTCCTGCTCCAGTCGCTCAAACTGCTTCAGCTACAGGGAGGCAGGAGAAAACAGTGAAGTTAGGTAAATATGGGGGCCAATGCACTGACTTAATGTGTGAGACAATGTCTCCCCTCGAGGTTGTCTCCAGAAACTACAACAGCCTGTCTCTGTCTGAGCCAGAGGCACAAATCACTCCTGGCCTTTGGGCTAGAATTTTCAAAGCAATCTAGGGAAATTGGGTGCCTTATTTCCCTAGATTTCCCTAGACAAGCACCCTTAGTCTATGAAAGATTCAGCCATGCTGCCAAAGCCCTTGGCTCATTGCTGTACAGCTTACCTGCACGTCTCAAGGAACTGGTCAGCTTGCATTACTTTCCTAATAGCAGGGGACTCCACAGTGAGGCAGTAGTGAAGCATCTAATAACACCCATGAAGCAAGGCAATGCCAACTCCCAGATGGATTGCGGTGTGACTGGGCACTGAACAGAGCCATGTCAAAATTACCATTCCCTGTGGACCAACCGTCAGCAGCAGCCATCTCACAGTAATGAAGCATGTAAAGAGCAGGGGCCTAGACCCAAGCACAAGGACAGGGGAATGGCAAAATATGGATAAAAGTGATGTTCCGCTTTGCAAAGCTACTGACAGAGATGGCTCCTCCTTGCTCAGAGCCGTTCCTGTGCAGACTGGAGGTACAGCTGCAGCCTAAAAGCAGCAAGTGTTTGCTGCCAGACTTTAACATGGGCCCTGCCAAGTCAGCCACAGTTGCTCATGCTCCAGCAACAGGATTGCTGTTCTACCTGCTAAACTGGACTATCTTGTGTACCAGTGCTGCCCTCAGCCCCTGCACCAAGGCCCTGAGAGTGTCCCTGAAGCTAGAACCCAGCCAGGCTAACCTGTGTTCCTGGTGATTGTGACCAAGACAGAAAAAGGCCAGCGTGAATGTCTACTCCTTCACTGAGTAGACTAGGCTAGCAACTAGGAAAGGCAGTTTCCTGGTGAATCAGGCCTTCTGCTCATCTCTGGCAGTCAACAGGGAGCACCTTTACAATTACTTGGCAGAGCAGAAACACACACAGGCCAATTCTTATGTGCAGCAGTGAATTGTACCACTGGAGCTTCTCACCCAAAACCAAGAGTCTGTTTATGCCATGGGCTTAAAGCCTTTCCCTTGCTTCTGGAATTCATCTTGGTATGCTGCAGAGCAGGTCACTGCAGACCACCGCACCAAGGAAAGCAAGGGAATTCCCCGTAGGATCCTGCTGCCAGGTAGAACCCCCTGCCCTTGTCCACAGGTTCCCTCCCTTACCTGCTGCTGCTCCAGCTGCCCCTTGCCCTGCCACATGATGTTGCCCTTTTCTAGCAGTTCCTTCTGGGTTTTCTCAAACTCCTCCTTGCCCTGGAAGGAAGGCACACAAAGAAAGTTAGAAGGTTAGTGAGGACACCCCTGGGGACCCTGTCACAAAACAGGCCTGCAGCAGGGGAAGGCTGTGTGTGGGCACAGGGGGAATATAGCTCTGGAGGGTCAGCATCATTGTCTTTCCCTGCATAGCAGAGGGACGGCCTTGCCCTTTGAGAAAGTGCCTGGTCCACAGCTCTCAGCTGTATCCAGACCCATCACACTGAGGGTCTCCTCTATCAGAAGCCCCCAGCATGAGTCCTGGCTATAGAGCAAGCATAGGTCTCTGAAAGAGTTCCCTGAGGCTCTCTGGCTCTGAATCTGATTTATAGTGTCCATAATATTGTCCTATGATAGGGCTGCTCCTGTGAGCCCCAAGGGCTGTATTCACCTCAAACCAACAGAGCTAAGTGACCACCCTCCACCTCTAAACCAGAGAGGCAGCCATGCTAGCGGGTGGCAGATGACTTCTGCCCCTGCTGGCCTGGTCATCAGTTGTCCTGTGAGACTGGGGAAATGCTCAGAGCCCAGAGGGCCCCTTCCTGCTGCTGTTCCAGTTAGACCTGGCAGGCACTGAAGCTGGGGCTGAGGTGCAGTGAAATGGGGGCGTCTTCATCAGAAACTGAGGTCACAGAGCAGAACACCCCTGGCCTGTTGGAACCTCCCTGGCTCCAGGCTTTCGGGCAGAAGCTCCAGGCTTGTCACAGAAAGCTGGTCCTCCACTTGTGGAGTGAGCTGCTTGGGGAAGAACCATAGTTGGTGCTAGAGAGGGGAGAAGACACAGAGGATTGGGAGTGGGGATGCTCAGTGAAGCATGGGCAGCAGTAGCAGGGTCTGGCTGAGCATATGGGAAGCATGTATCAGGGCCCGGCCTGGTCCAGGGCACAGGGCTCCATGTGGTCTCCATGGATACCATGAGAAGATGGAATTGGGTGGGCAGGCCCAGCCAGGAGGCCCCTTGCCAGTCTGTGCTGAAGCAAGGCGGTCTAAGGGGATCAGTAACACTCCCAGTCAGCACATACTAGGCCTGCTGCTTCTGTGCACCCAGCAGCGCCCTGCAATGCCTGGGGAGGAAAAGGGTGTGAGCAGCATGGGGCATGTGGCTGGGAGTGAGGAGAAGGATCCCACCCCAGTAACTAGGAAGCAGGATGCAAAGCCAAGTGTGCAGGCTCTGTATTGTGGAGATTGGCATGGTGGAGGCAGCTTCAGAGGTCAGCAGAACAGAAGATCAGATGAGAGATGTAGAAGGTGCTGGGAATTCATCCAGGCACCCAGTACCTGGGACATGGGAAGTCACAGAGGTGGGATTTCCCCTCAGGATGAATACTAAGCAGGTGCTTCTCATGTGCGGTCCTACTCACATGCCCTGGAGCTGACCTAAGCCCCCAGCCTGGCTCCAGCAGGGATTCTACACAGGGCACTATGAAGTTCCCACAAGCTGTGTCCCCACTTCGTGGAGCACTCGGCAGGAGCAGAACGGGGAGGGACATAACTCTCCAGTTCCACTTTTGGGGCTGCTGGGGGCCTGCATTTTGCTGGGGGCTCAGAGGTGGGACCTGGTCTATCTGGAATCCCTGCTCCCCTGGAAACCTCTGCTGGAAGCTCCCAGAGTCAGGTCCCCATCTTGCTCTGATGTGGCCCCACTCCCTGGAGTAAGGAAGTCCCTCACTGCTGCCCACACCCACCTGTAGATGGACATAGTCATAATCCTCCATCCAGCCACTCTCGCTGTTCTCATATGGTCCGTCTGGTGACTCCTGTGCTAGGAATTTGGGTGGGGAGGGCAGGGGCCGTGACTGGATGCTGCTAGCCTTGTCAGAGGGCCCTGTCTGGTAAGTGGGCAGGTGGCTGTTGCCATCCACCAGTGTGGCTGGCTGTTTTGTCCGTTTGAAGAGCAGGGAGGCATTGCCATGCAGGAAGGAGGCCAGCTGCTTGGTGTCATCAGGGATGCCACGTGAGTACATGATAAAGCGGTCCAGGTCATCAGTGCAACCTGGCTTGCTGGCCACTAGGGTGCTCAGGGCCCAGCCACAACTGTCCAGTGCCTGGCTGTGCCGCACTAGTGCCTGGTTGACAT